ACATACACCCACAAATACACTGTCAGTGGAATGCTTTTAAGTTATAATCATATGTGTCTCCTCCATCTAAAGATCTTAATCTCACCTTTTCAGCATGTATAACTCAAAAAGACTGTTCAAGACTCAGCTTGTGGTTGTCTTGTAAGTATTCCTAAATCCAGTAGGATGATTATACTGTCTTCCTCTTAAGACCTATAGCACCAAGCACAAACATCTATCACACTATTTACCTCACTTGATTTCAATGGTTGGTTTCTCGCATGCCTCTCCCACTCTAACAGACTGTAAGCTCCTTTCCAGCCAAAGATGTCTCGTTGATTTTTCAGTCCCAAATATCCACCATACTGCTGAGCTCAGCAAGAGGAGGTGTTTCAATAAACATTTCTTGTTTGTAACTTGGTAGTGTACTTACATTGAATGGAATGATTTTCATTTTGTCTCTATGAAAGCAAGCGAATTATTGTCATTCCCACCCTCAAATCTTCTTTGAATTTTTTTTCACTCTGACTTATGTCCAAAAGAAACACTCATGATGAAGTATCATTCACTAACAGATTATTTTTACTTTGCCATTTGATGGGTACCAGCAGAAGGTTATAGGAGAAACATTTTCATTATTACAGGTTCCTGGATCAAGAACCCAGAAAGCAGGGTAAGAAAGTTAGTTTTTAGTTTGTCCTAATATTTTGCCCTGAAAAATTGCTGAAAGACCACAAAAGTAACATAGCTGACTCAGCAGGTTCTATGTGTGCATTTTCAATAGATGGCATATCTGAAACATCACTTTGTTTCATTTTGTATAGTTGATCTGTAAGAAAAGTTAAGAGGTAGGCATAGCTCTAAGAAACTGTGACTGAAGTGAATGGTCTTGGGATAGTTCTGAAAATACTGAGGGAGGGAAGGAAGGAAGGTAGAGAGCCTGCCTCTCATAAGGGATACGGAGCAGAATAAGCTTCAGGATAGCATTTGAAGAGATAAAGTGGGGACAGAGTCAATTTTGAGGAAAGTGATGTTTTCATTAATATTCAGACATGGTTTCAAAACACCTTGGTTGGGAATCAGCGGGTTATCAGTCATTAATTACTTGATTTAGCATAACTCCCAATATGTAAAACACATTCACTTATTAATATAATTAAAATAATTTTAGCCAAAGGACTAGAATTATTTGTATGCACATAGAGCACTTGTTTCTTAATCACACATACAAGAATCTCAAATTACTCTACAGTGAACATTCACACTGTACAGTCTACACTCAAATTTTAAATGAAGGGATTATGTATCAGGTACACAAGCTGATGTCTGGAATTAAAAAAGGAAGTAATATGTCAAAGGAGAGAGATTTAAGAAAGATCTTATATTTTTTGCAAACTAACAATACTGGAAACTATTAACTGATGTTCACAAAGATGACATGAGGTGCAAAAATATCTTGAAGGGCCTTCTGAATGAATTCATTTATAAAATAAACCAATAGTTCCCTTTACGGAATTGATAATAAAGGTTAGTTGATGCACACACATATAAATAGAATAGCATACTTTTAGCACAAGTCAGATGTGCAATGATTGCTGAGTGTAAACACAATCTTTAACTAACCAAACATGCTCAACTGACTAGACCAGCCTTCTCAAAACAGATTCTCATATTTTAAAAAAAGAAATGAATCTGTCATAGACAATAAAGGAAACTAGACTTTAAAATGAAAGGAGTTACAAATCCTAAGATAAATACAGTTTCCTGTGACAACAAACTAGAATGCAGTGTATATTAAGAGTTCCAGAGGATATTTCAAAAGAGACTTCCTACAAATACCAAAGGGATTCTTTAATGCTTGTATGATTCAGAAATACGATGGTAACAACAAAGCAGACAGCAGAGTTTACACCCCAAGAAATGAGTAGGATTAATATCCTCACAAAATTCATAATCGCTATCTAACAAGTTCTTTTAAATTTTATTTCCACATTGCATTAGCAATCAACAACCTCTTACCTTCTCAGTTTCTTTTCATTAGCAACTGCCAACTAGGAATCTGCAGTCACTGCTCTTAGAATTGTATTAATCAGAACTAATTTAAAAAATGTTTGTCTTATAGAATAATTTTCTTCCTCCACAATTCTATTTTTCAAACTGCACAGATAACTGGGAGTTCATCATAATAAGCAATATCAATATTGTATGACTTGAAATCAAACTATGCCTGTAAAAAAAGATTTAGTAGTTTTAAAATACCACATATGCCTAAGTTTTTTTATAAGTTTTTTTTCCCCTAACATTATCCCCATTGAAAAGAATATGGAGCTTTACTATATTTTGAAGACTTAAGTTATTACTTTAAGGAATGTTTTTGGGGAAGAAATTAGCCTAAAATGACTTCAATCAAAAGTATAAAAAGCATATATCTCAAACAACTTAGAAGTGAGGATGATATGCTTTGGAAAACTTTTTCCCGGGGCTCAAAAAGTCTCTAATGATAACCAAGACAGTGATGTCAATGAGGCATGAGAGGACACTGAATGAAACTGTTCTACAAAATGAGGTAAAAAATAATTTAAAATATTTGTATAACATATGATTGACATTTAAACATTTCATCTATATCCCTTTTTATATATAGATTTTTGTGTGTGTGTATGTGTGTGAGGAAGATCAGCCCTGAGCTAACATCCATGCTAATCCTCCTCTTTTTGCTGAGGAAGATCGGCCCTGAGTTAACATCTGCTGCCAATCCTCCTCCTTTCTCCCCAAAGCCCCAGTAGATAGTTGTATGTCATAGTTGCACATCCTTCTAGTTGCTGTATGTGGGACGCGGCCTCAGCGTGGCCAGAGAAGCGGTGCGTTGGTGCGCGCCTGGGATCCGAACCCAGGCCGCCAGCAGCGGAGCGCGAGCACTTAACCGCTACGCCACCGGGCTGGCCCTATATATTGAAATTTACCAAAAAACTGTTTTTTGGGGAATCTTCTCATTGGGAAAATGGAGGCATAGCCTTCTATTTGGCTAGCTTCAGAACTCAAGTTTTAGAGGTACTTTTACATTATGTATATTAACAAAAGGCAGAGCGATACAATTAAAATATAAGAATGTGAAAGTTAGTTTACCTCCTCAAAGAGGCCTTCCCTGAACATCTCAGCTTGTATATCATGCAGTCATTCTCTATTCCATTACTTTGTTTTTCACACATCACTTCTTATGATGTGAAACGAATTACTTATATGTTTATTACTTGTCTCTCTTGACTGGAATGACAATTGCATGAGGGCAGAGACTCTGGCTCGTTCTATGAAACTCCAGGCAGTCATGAGGTTGGCAGGAGCGAGAGGGAAGGAGGGAGGGAGAAGGCGGCAAAAGCGGCTGCAGTGGAAGGAGCGCTCCGGTAGTTTATTGGGTCACCTAATTCAGTCAGTTCTCTGTGGGCTGTTTTTCACGTAATGTGTATGTGTAAACCAAGGACTACCCATGTATTTGCTTACTAGTCAAGAAACATAAAAGGAAAAAATCTCCTGAAACTAGAAAGAATTCAGTTTATTCAGATAATTCTCCTTTAGGTTCCAAAACAATAATGTTTACAAACAAGCAGTTTTGTTTATGTTTGCTCAAATTTTATTTTTACTTTTAGAACCAAAACACATATGTGAAGGGCAAGAAACGAAAATGCTCCATTTTTTCATGTTCTGTTTCAAAGTGCAGATTTTTAAATGTAACTATTTATATGAGGTTTTTTTCATTTTTTTTTTGAAGAAATTAAACCTCATGAAATAAAAATATCACAAAGACAATATCAACAGAATCTGAAAGTTGTTTGAAGAAAGTGTCCTTAATTAGAATATTTAACTTTTGGTTTACCTAAAAACATTTTTAATTATAAATCTGTAACATCTTTCCATAATCAAACATAAACCAAATGGCTGAGTCAAAGTCACTGTTTTGAATAACAGTTGATATTACTGCTTTATACCTGTTCAGGAGTTCTGACTCTTACAGACTATTTTCAAACAAAACAACCATATGGACAAAAAAATATACGTTATTTCCATACTGCTTTAATTCTGTAGTCTCTTTCAAATTCCCTATTTCTTTCAGTTGCAGTTCTTTGCTTGACTTTCCCCTTTTAAAGATCTGTTTGTTAGAGAAGAACTCTAAGTATTCTGAATTCCATCCTATTTGGTTAATGTGACTAAAAAGGCTCAAGCTGGGGGTTCTTAGTGTTTTTCTAAATTGAAAAATTACGAACTGTACAATAAATTGGGCTGAATTACACTCTCTTTGGAAGCCTATGCTAGATAATATAAAAAGTTTGCTAGCATAAAAAGTGTGAGAAAACACTGAAGCTTTGCTATCTGTTTAGACTCAGCCAATACAAGTCTCTTGTCATATTTTAGTGTCCACGAGCAGTGGAGAAAGGTCTACCCAGTGGTGTGGGATCTTTCTGACTGGGATCTTATGGAAAACAGGAATGGCTGTCGGTGGGCAGAGAGGCTGCTGAAGACAACAGTTACACACTACACCCCTGTTGTTCTATGATGTTTATTACAAAGACATTTTTTACTTTTGTGGAATGTTGCAAAGGAAAAAGAAATCTATGCCCACAGCATTAAAAAACTTGTATTTTTGCTGCATTATTTAAATTACTGAAATATGACTAAACTAATAGCATAAGCTAAAGACATTATTTCTTATTATTTGCTATAAAATCATTAAAAGAACCATTTAAGTCGTGAAATACAAATACAAAAGATATAATCTTGTGGAAGGGCTCTTATGGAAAAAGGTGCTAAAATGTGCTTTAATTTCAACATAATGAACTAAAACTGCTTCAAATATAAAACTTTAAAAATCTCTACTCAAGGACCAACACTAAAAATATGCAAATAAAGTTCTCTATCAAAATATATTTTATAAGTAAAAATTATATATTTAAAAATGTTAAAATAAAAAAATATGTAAGTAAAAGATACTTGGAAAAACTTGTTAAATCTCCTTTATTTCAGTAGACAGAAGACTATTTTCAACGTCCTGGCTGAAAGGGTTCTTGTTGCCACGGAACTGGAAGAAAAAAACCACAAAGATTTGAGACAAATTAATGATGCAAACTAATGGTACATAATACTATAGTGGAAAGACCCGAGTTAAGCTAGAGCCAGAGTTCACATTGCACATCTGCCCTTCACTAGCCATGGAATCCTGAGAAAGTTATTTAAGGCTCTCCAAGGAGTAATTTCCTCATCTGTAAAAGAACAATAATATCTCTACATCTCTCTCAGGTATCTTGTGAGAATTAAATGGAAAAAAGGATGTAACGTGTCTGGCACATAGGGCTCATTTAGCCCCTTTGTTTAGTTCCATTTATGGTGCTGAACACAAGCATCATGAGCAAAATGGCAATAGGTGGGTCATAGGGATTTTCATATCTTTAGAAAGTCGCAGTTCCTAAAAGTGTGAGAGGCGTTCTCTATGGATTATTTGCATTTATGAAAACTAAAAGATGTGCTTATTGCCTCCTAATTTTTTTAGAGTTATTTTTGGATACTACAATAAGTAGATAATTGTTTCTTTTCCTTTTATTTTCACTTGACTAATATAACCAAGGAGGTAATTAAAATTTTGGGGAATCAAAGCTGGACTTGATAGATTGAGAGATATCTTTATCATCAGAATAGTTTAATTATTAAGAACAGAAGAAAGCTCAAACTATGAGAACCTTTAAGAAACAATTGGGGGCCGGCTCGGTGGTGCAGCAGTTAAGTGTGAGTGCTCTGCTGCAGCAGCCTGGGGCTCGCAGGTTCGGATGCCGGGCGCGCACCGATGCACCGCTTGTCAAGCCATGCTGTGGCGGCGACCCATATAAAGTAGAGGAAGGTGGGCATGGATGTTAGCACAGGGCCAGTCTTCCTCAGCAAAAAAGAGGAGGATTGACATCAGATGTTAGCTCAGGGCTAATCTTCCTCATAAAAAAAAAAAGAAACAATTACATTCAAGATTTCCTGTTTTAGAAATTAAAGTTTACTTTAATTCATAGGTTTGACCCATCTACTCTGCACAGCAGCAGCAGCAATGTATCAAATTAATCAGAAAGTCATATACTCTTCCACTGCCACCCCTGTTTCTTTCTCCCCTCTATAATTTTTCTTCAGGTTCTGTTTTAAGTGAAAAATTTCCAGTCTTGTTTAAACTCTTGGGTGGGGCAGGGGAGGAAGGGAAAGATACACAGATAATTACCACACCACGTATTACTCACATGCCTTATTACGTGAGAAACACACACACAAAGTACTATGGAAGTACAAGAGGAACTGTCACATGGGAGACCAGTAAGAAGTTCAATGTGGCTTGAATACAGAGGTGGAAGTGGTGGGAGATGAGGCTGTATACACAGGACTGTGAAGGGCCCTGCATTCCAAGCTAAAATACTTGAATTTTATTCTATTGGTTATAGGGCACCAGAGGCAACTCGAATGTAGAGGTGCTGCTGTGATCAGATTTCTTTTTTTTTTTTTTTTGTGAGGAAGATCAGCCCTGTGCTAACATCTGCCAATCCTCCTCTTTTTTTGCTGAGGAAGACTGGCCCTGGGCTAACATCCGTGCCCATCCTCCTCCACTTTATATGGGACGCCGCCACAGCATGGCTTGCCAAGCGGTGCGTCGGTGCGTGCCTGGGATCCGAACCGGCAAACCTCAGGCCACCGCAGCAGAGTGTGCGCACTCAACTGCTTGCGCCACCGGGCCAGCCCCAACTGCTGTGATCAGATTTCTGAATTAGAAATAGACCTTTGTTAACAGGCTACTTCTTGTACAATTCAGATAAATGAATGAATCAATTACTTCAATTAATTTTTTCTAATTATTTGTAAGAGAACCCAGGATTGGGAAACAACTTTTAATTTAAAAGAAATTCTCTAATTTTACTTACAGTACATTTTACCTCTGATGGTAGAATAGTTGGGTGTTAATGGATAACTGCAGTTTTTGCAGAATTACTAACTTCTTAAAATTTTCCTTTACCTCTGGTAAATATATATTTAATTTTAAAAATCTATATTCTAATCATTATATTTTACAAATAGAATTACGTTTAATAGAAAAATTTTTAAGTTCCAGTGGCGAACTACCAAGTTGTTCTACCAACACATTTCAATTAACTCCATTCATTTACACCGAGATGTTATATTAGAATACTGAAAGAAAGAGAAAGGTTGCTTTATCTGATTGAAGTTTTTTTCCTACCTTGGTTTTTTACTGTTTTTTCTCCATTTATCAAAATAATGTATGTTCACAGTAGGAAATCTAGAAAATACAGAAAAACACTCTCCACACACCCCAAAATTTATCACCCAGAGGCAGACAAGTTAAATGTTGGTGTATTTCGTTTCTGTATTCCTATGCATTTCTTTATTTACATAGGTAAATTTATATGATACAGTTTTAAAAACTGTCATTGAAAACTTTTATAAACCCTTTAATGGTTGCATCATATTTCACAGTATAGATTAACTATAATTTACTTAACTATCCCCTAAGGTTGGGTTTTACTGAAGGACAGATTAGTGACATTACCAATTCTTTTTTTTTTTCAATCTTTGACAACTAGATTTCCACCTAACAACATAATTCAACTCTGCCTGATATCTGAACAATTCTACAAATGTGCACAGAAAAATGACTGCTATATATTGCCACTTGTTGTAAATTTCATTTACATAAATGTACAAAGATAAAAGACTCAGTGAAGCAAGCATTAAAACTTGTGAAACTCACCAGAAGTCCAAGGAACTTCTGGAAGCACACCTGAATCAGGAGGATAAGGGTATGCATCTTGTGGTAATGGTTGATATGAGGCATACTGTGAAAAAATCGGCTGCTGAAAATTGTAAGAAACAGGCATTTGAGATGGAAAATACCCAGTCACTGGCACAAAGTCATTTGCTTGTGGCTCTCCTGCAAAGTAACCAAAATATTGAGAGTACAAAAGATTAGAATGTGTATTTTGGACAGTACTTGCAACTGCAGTCAACATCCCAGAAGGAGATGGCTGTACTTCATACGACGTTATGCCCTGGTATGTCTGGGTAATGGAATTGCCATTACTGCTGCTGTAATGATAGACACACCAAGCATAGTAAGGATATGAAGTTCCAAATGAGTGCTCGGAAGAATTATATATTGGGGTACATGCAGACTGTGGAAGTTCATTCCAATACGCTGCAGCATTCTGAGTTAGGACTTTTGAATTTTCATTCTTCTGTTGTTCAGAAAAAGAACACTCTGCTGTTTGATTCACATTAAGGGTTATGTTCCCAGATGCTTCAACAGGTATAGTACTGGGATTCAAAGTATCCTTTATATATTTTTCTTTTGACTCAATTTTTGCAGGCTGTGTTTTACTTATGTGCAGAACAGGAATTTTGTTCTGGACAAATATGGGCTCTGGAGAACTTGTACAATTTTTAACAGATGAATTTAATATTTCATTATCTTGAAGTTCAAAGACAGTGTCATTCATTTCTAAATTGGCATGGACATCCCTCACAAAACGAAAAATAGGCTTTGAGAGCACTGATGCATCAGGCAGAAGAGAAGCATCAGTTCCTGGTTTTACGTGTGAGGGACAAGATTGTTCTGGAGGATCTGGGGAATTCTTAAGAAATTTCTGTAAAAGTGTCTCATGGTCTTTTGAAAATGTGCCTTCCACACTTTTCTGGTCACAAATTGCAAAAGAACAATCTTGCTCATGACTCTCGGTTTCAGCAGCACTAAAATTCACATCTCTTTTCTTCATGCTATTTAAGTCTCCCTGTTGTCCAGTAAAATCTTCTGAAGTATCAGATGAAATATTAGCTAAATCTATTTTGCCCTCTGACTTGGACGTGCAAGTATCTTTTAGGTTCTTTAAAGGTAAAAGTGAGCCGGGTAGCGATCTGTGCATTTCCACCTTTTTTGGAGATACATCGTTTCTTTTCAGATTGTCAGATGAACTTGGTGCTATTTCATTTTCAGTTTCAGGATGAGATCTTGTAGTCCTATTAAATGTAACACATAAATACAAAAAACTTTAAATATACAGAGTCACAAAATTTTAATATAAATATATATTTAAAACTTTTATTCAGAAGAGTTCTTGATTTACATTTTCTCTTTCTATTGGCCATATACAAAAGTAATGTATTTCCCCAGTTTTACTCCCTTGGTTTGAATTTAGATACTTTTCCTGCTGAAGGTGATATACTCCACATTTCAAATATACTTCCAATACATTTGGAAATATACATCTTATGCCACTAGACAACATTCCAAGAGTCATGCGTGCCTGGAAAAGGATTCTAGAAATGCAGTAAATACAATATTGTATTTAAAGAAGCAAAACCAAATAAGATAGAAATGAAGATGCTTATCTTATTACGTATTACTCATTCTCCTTCATAAGATGGAAAAAAAGATGGAAAAAAATGAAGCTTGTCATAAATTGAAAATCTTACAGAGCTGAATTAAACAAGAGACGGGTCAACAAGTCCAGTGCTGCCACTTCATGTCAAAATGAGAAACATATAAATAATGTAGTGAGTTTTTCATAAAAATACTTAATTCAGTTTAAAGAATTAGCTTTTATTTTGAAATCGTGTTCTTCCTATATTATGGTGTTAAAACATCCTTTCATGAAACATAGTGTATTTATAATGTGTGTGTGTGTCCATGACTAAGTTCCCACTTAGTTATATAAGTTGGCAATTTATATCTTTTTAATCAATTTTGAAATGTGACTCATATAAAATCCTAAGTTTCAAATTCAATCTAATCACCTGTCCTATTCTTTTATGCCCTTTTTAGTAAGCCAGTCACTAAGCCCCATCAATTCTTTAAATAATGTCTGTAAACTATGAATTTTACTCTCTTATTTTGTAAAACATCACTCTTTTCTAAGCCCTGGCTGACTTACCACTTCTAACTGTACTCAGAATCTCCTTACCTTTAAATCACTGAAAACACACATTTTACAGGACATTACTCTTCAATACTTACAGAATAAAGTTCAAACTCCTTAGGCCTCACTTAACACACTGCATAATCTGAAACAACCTTCTCCCTCCTTAGCTTACTCTTGTCCCCTAAATTACATGTATGATCCAATAGAGGTATATAAATAAATGTTTTAGTCTTGTTCCTTAATATGTACTCAATTCTGTTTAGTTTTTCTGCAGACAGGGCTGATGGCAACTCCTACCTCGGATGCTTGAATGCTGCCATTTCTCTGTTGATTTCTGTGACATCTTTCATGTTAATCTATGTTTCAAAGAAACAAAAAAAAAACCCTACATTGGTGATGGTTTAAAATATCATATAAATATTTATTATTTAACATCAGATATTTGCAATTGCTTGTTCTGTCATCATCTAAAACACATTGTCTAAAAGTACATTCATTAATGATCTTCTCCTTCAAAAGAAACCAGTGACTCTGCTGGACTTCCCATATTTCATAAATGTTTTGAGAAACTTTTTTAAAAAGCAATTTGCAACATTCTTTTTGTCTCCACACCTTACAACAAATCTCGGAGTCCATTGATAACTGCTCCCTCTTTTATACCCTTTTCAGTAAACCAGTCACTAAGCCCCACTGGAAGTAATGTCTGTCAAATATGAATTTTCCTTTCTTATTCTGTAAAACAGCCCCTTTTCTAAGACCTGGATGACTCACTACTTCTAACTGTACTCAGAATCTCTAATCTTTAAATCACTGAAAAAACATATTTCACAGGACACTACCCTTCAATACATATGGAATGAAGTTCATACTCCTTAGCCCTATATTTAAGACATTCTATAATTTAAAACATTATTCTTCTCCATCCGTAGCTTAGTCTTGTCCACTAAGTTAAATTTTTTGTTCTAGACTTAATTTTAAACTCATTTCTCAAACAATGTCAATAAGCATTGTGTCTGCTCTTCCTATTTTCCATAACTTACCCTCTTCATTTTCACCTTCATCTGATAACATTTTTTCCTTTAAGGCAAAGCTTTGGTCTGTGTTCTTCCATGAAATTAATAAACTTTCTCTAACAGTCTAATTTGTTTTTTGCTTTTCTTCTTAAGAAAAAGCACTTTACTCAATGTGGAGTACAAAACTTGTTTTCTTGTTGTGTTTTAAAAGTTATGTTTATAAACTGGTTGTTTATTAAGCATTTTGATATAAACAGTGCAATAAATGATCTGTTTCTTAATCTCGAAACTTGTTTAATGAATACAATTAGGGTAAGCTGACAAAGAATTTTACTTTTCATTTTGCATACAGTGAAATGAGAAATTCTTGAAAAATTTTAAGAGAAGCCTCTGAGAGTAGAGTAGGGCAATTGTTGGTATGGGCTCTGGAGCTAGACTGCCTGTTTTACATCTGGGCTCTCCCACTCACTAACTCTGTGACCTTGAGAAAGTTACTTAACCTTTCTATGCCTCAATTTCCATACCTTTAAATAAGATAATAATAGTGCCTACATCATATGGATTTTGTGAGAAATAAAGAGTTAATATTTGACAGTTGTTAGAACTGTGCCAAGTACATAATAAATGCTGCATGAAATTTGTTAAATAAAATATATTTATGTAGGACTTTCAACTCCTTCATAATCATCTATTTAAAAACATGTGTCCTATTTCTCCATTTGGATAATGGTTAAGAACACAGGCTCCATGAGCCAGTTTTTAATATTCACTGCATTGGGTATAGCCTTGTTATATAGAAGCAACTCAATAAATACTTGGTCACTCACTTAACTCACATTCATAATATTGGACTTTCCCTTTATAAGTTATTAAAATTCACATTCTTCCAAGAAATGTTTTCTAAATTAAATAATTTATTTAACTTGTAAGTTTAAAAGTAAACATTTGTGGGCCGGCCCCTTGGCTTAGCAGTTAAGTGTGCACGCTCCGCTATTGGCGGCCCAGGTTCAGATCCCGGGCGCGCACCGACACCGCTTCTCCGGCCATGCTGAGGCCGTGTCCCACATACAGCAACTAGAAGGATGTGCAGCTATGACATACAACTATCTGCTGGGGCTTCGGGGGAAAAATAAAAAAGAAAAAAAAAGAAAAAAAAAGTAAACATTTGCAAGGTATCTCTCATATATAGAATCATTTATATAATTTTATGGATAATAAGAATTGTTTAATCCAATATTTTAGTTAGTAAGTTCATTTTGCAAGGCAATATTTAAAGCATTCTCAATTTTTACAATTCTGCAAACTACGTGTTTGTATGCTTAAAGGGTAGACTTGTTCTCAAAAAGAATACTTACATAGCATTTGTTTTAAAACATTTGTTACCTTTTGTTTTTTACAACTGGAAACAGTAGTATTTTTCTCTTGTTCCTGAGAGTCTTCCCATTTGTCTATAGTTAAAGGTCGTTTTTTAGAGGAACTTGAAACGTTTTTCATTATGCACTCTGAAACTGAAGGCACCTTCATACAAGTACTGGATTTATTGATACTCTTTCTAGGTTTTACATGAATATTCATTTTTTCTTTTCTCTCCAGTTGGAAAGTCTTCTTGCTGTTATGTAGCATTTGGCATAGGATAAAGGAAATGGTTAATGTAGCATTTTTAGCACATATTATCTTCATATGTTCAATAGTTTTCATGACTTTCATAATATGGGCCATTTTCCCTAAATCTTTCCGAGGGGCAGCCATTATATTTTTGAGCAGTGTAGAAAACTGATTGTAGTTGTATTCTAACTCTGTCAGAGTGCTTCCATAATTTATGGATGCTATATAAGGCACAAAGTCAATATACGTGGAAATGGAATACTTAGATTTCTTTAGAAGTTTTTTTATTTCTGAAAGTTCTTCAAGTTCTCTTGAAAACAAATGAAGAGCATATGAGCAATTAACAGCTTCATTATATTTGTAGATAATATCCAGATCTTTTTTAAGTTCAGAAATAGAAGTCTCTATCACTCTCCAAAGGCAATCTGTTGAGTTATCTTTAAGAAATGAAAAAGAAGCCATTTTTTCTTGGCAGCGAACCAGCTCAGGAAGAAGTGACAAATCAAACCAAAGCATACCTCGAAACCTCTGTTTGTCTAGTTTTTTTGCCATTGAGTTTTTAAGAAAATGAACTGTTTCAGAGAGCATGACAATGTCAATATAGGTTTCAATGGCTGCAGGTTTTAAAATTACAGCCTCGTGGTTATGGTTTTTCAACATGTCCACAACGTTTTCTTCAGTGATGAAAATATTATCTATGTTATCTTCTTGCAGCCTCTGAAAGGATTTTTTTAAAATTTCTAAGTGATCGGTACACCTCAAAGTGAGTTCCTGTAATTTTTTAAAGTCTGCAAATTCAGCCTGATCCAATATTTCACTAATAAAACAGATATCTGGGTGTGAAAGCAAAGTACTGTTAAACCTACAGTTTCCTATGCTAATTGCTGCTTTGTTTACTAGATCATCTGACTTTCTGGAAGCAATTATAGTATTCTCCTCAAGCCCAATATTGGAATTTTGTTCACTGCTTAAATCTTTAGACAACGTATCATATATTTTCTGCAACTTAGAAAAAGCATATTGATTCATTCTGAGTAGCATTTCTTTGTTCTTCTTTCCCGAGTCTTTTTTGCTGAAAGATCGTCTCCTCTCTTTCCAAACAAGACTTTTTGCAGCATCAAAAAAGATATGTTCCAGACCATAAAGAGATATTTTAATACTTAGTGCCTCATTGCTCTTGATAAAATTAACTTTTGAGGCAATCATTTCTATGATAATCCACAGATGGTCTTGTTTTCCCGGATAGGAATGAACTTTAGGAGAGTCTCCATACATACTTATCAGTTTTAAAGTACTTTTTCTTAAGGTTTCTAGGTCTCCTAAACTATCTCCAAAGTTAACTCCACAGGTAAATGGAACAGAAAGAGAAAAGTCAAAGCAATCAGAACAATGCTTCATTATTGCTTCACACTCATTAATCTGCCGTTTGTACTTTAAGAACGCGTAGTATGAATTGTTTTCTCTTTTAGTTTCTTCAAACAATTCAATTAATTGATCAAGATAGTTCTGCAACTCACAGAACGCATTATATTTTAACCTTCCTTGAAAAGCAGGATAGAAATTGGATTGTTGTTGAAATCCACGTGGTCTGCCAAGCAGCTCGCTGTACAACGACTCATCATACCAAAGCAAGCTTCGAAATGTGGGTTCACCTCCTAAGAGCCTTTTTTTGTTTTCAATGAATTGAATAGTTTCCATCATCATTTGGAGTTCTACCAGGGAGTCGATAGCACACGGTTTTAATTTGTGTTTGCAATTATTCCACAGGTTTTGCTCTACCAATAGTTCTCTTGAAATCAGGATTTGTTCAACTGAACATTCCTGCTTTCTTTCAAACGCTTCAACAAATAAAGGGAGAATATTTTGACAAACATTCCTTTCTTCCTGTAGAGTCTGCAAAGAGGATGCTTCATCTGCCCTCCTCAAAATTTGAGTAAGCCTAACTATAAGAGCCGAATGATTAGCTGAGCAATGTTTTTCTTTTAATTCATTCACATATGATGTAGGCTTCTTCTGAGGAGTAGTGATTTTGGAAGTTTCAGAGTGGGCATGTAAAACAGGCATATGATTCATTCCTATAATGCCTGGTATGGAATTACAGGCTATTTCTGAATGCAATATAGAGTCAGAATGAGAGTCGTCATTCACTTTAACTCCCCGTTCTTTCTCTCTTTTGTTAGGCTGATTAGAAATTGTGTTATTCAAAGAGACTGCCTCAGTAGCATTTTTAATGCTTAGATGAGAATCAATCAAGTTATTTTTAATTGTTTTCTCACTTAAGCAGGAGGATTCTTCTAAGATCTTATTCTTTTGATTTTTGTGCTCAATCTTAACAGTTGATCCTTCAGGCACACTTTTTTTGTGAATTAAATCTTTTGCTTGTTCTGCTTGTTTAACTTTCCACATTTTTCTGTCCTGAATGTTTTTCTTTGCAATACATTTTTTGGAAGAAGAATCCTTTATATTATCTTTTAAGAGCAGAGAACTATCACTGGAGAACAGTTTCTTCATTGTATTTTCCCCATGACATTTATTTTCTTCATTTACTGATGTGAGACCCAACTCAGAATTCTCAATAACATTTGTTTCATTTCCATCTATATGGAAGCAATTACTTGAAGAGCACTGTTCTGTCTTCAGAAGTTCTTTTCCACCACATTCTTGCTGATAGGGCGGTACATTGGTGGATGTTGCAAAAGAATCGATAGCAAAAATTCTCTGTTTATCCAAACAGTGAGATTCTCCCTCACTATCTGTCACTAAAGTGGTTGATAACTGAGGAATACTGTTAGACTTCTTGCTTGATATCAGAGTTAGATTTAACGGGTTCATAAAGAAGGTTCCTGTAATAATGCCTGGTTCGGAGTTCTCATTAGGAGCTATCCATTTCTCTACAGGAAAATTTACTTCCAGGTTGCCTTTATAACCAGATAAAATAAGGTTATCTGGTTTGTAGATATCAACATCTAAAAAGTGCTTCACATTTGATTCTAAGACTGAAATAACTATGTCAGTTTTCACCTTTGTGTCAGCCATACAAGTTGCATCATAATTTTTGTCTGTGCTAAAACTTACATTGTTTTCCTTTATGCAACTTACAGATACTGAATTACTTTTATTTATTACTTCATTAGCCTCAGAATTGTTTTCCTTTGTTGCATCCTTAATATTATGTGCTGAATGGTTCTCAAGCTCTTCATATTTACTAATGTTAGATAAAAACTTTTTGTCAGTTTGATTTTCTTTTTTAGTTAGTTTCGCATCTGGGCATCCTAGGGAAAACAAACACCCAGTTTTTCCAGAAAAGGGTTGAAGTTCTGATGATCTTGGATTTCTCATACTGCTATTGTTATAAGTTGACTGACTTGTACTTTGGGAAGTGGAACACAGGGGTAACTGTGATTCAGGATACTCTTGATCACAAAATTCTCTCATGTGAATAGTGGTATGACTTCTAGAGACACTGCTGGCCACATTTTTCTTAGAAAGGCACTCTGTACTTCTCTCTCCGCTTGTTTTATAAGACTTGTGTTTTGATACAGGAGTTAATGATTTATTGACTTCAAATCCCAAAGCTCTTTTCTCTCCTGGTTTGTCGTATTTTCTTTTTGACAAGAAATGCTTAGGAGAATAATATCTTCTTTCAGACACAGAACTATAACCATGAAGGTCACAACTTTCCCAGAAATTATTGCATATTATTGCATATGATTTTGGTAATGGGCCTTTTCTCTTTTCTCCCACTTTAGCTATAAGCTGCAAAGATGTGTGAACTCTTCTATGAGCTTTTTTTAAGTGAAGAACAGCTCTGTCAAGTCTTCTGGAAAGACGTTTGCTTTTGCATAAAGATGCTTCACTATTTAGAATATCCAGGACACTCCTAATGTGTTTTTCTGACAGTGAAAAGGTCTTAATTCGTCCTTGGGATAACGCAGAAAAACATTCAGATGAGCCTTGACTGGTTAGCTGCTGCTGCGTCTCACTAATTTCGTGATGTCTTAAATCTTTACGTGGTATGTTCTGGTCCCTAAAAAGTGTATGTGGCTTTCTTTTGCTAATTCTTGCTTCTGTGTCCTTCTTACTTCTAGCATCAATACAATCAGTTTTTGACCTTGTCAAGGAACATCTGCTTTCGTTATTTATTGTTGTGACATTAGAAGGTTCAGTAAGCAAAAGTTCACTGTTTTGTTTTTCAGACATCTGATTCACATGTGAATTACGACTCAAGTTAAAAGAAAGTGAGATTTCAGATTTACTCACTGGTTCTGAGTCATGCCTCATGTTACCAAATTCATCTTCACGTGAATAATCTAAATTTTCACCAGAACACTGGGAGTAAATTCTAAACTTTGGAACTTCTCCCTCTTCCTCATTTATTTCTGGTTTTGTGGCTTCAGTTATATATTTGCAAAAATTATCTTTCAGTGCAACGGATTCAACAGTGGGACTGTCTCCTGGCATAAATATATTAGTAATGCTAACTTGAAGATCTGGAAGTAAAACTGGGTTGAAAAGCTGTGCTTTGTTTTTTTGTGTAGTGGAATAAAGAGAATTACTTTCCTCAGAGTAATGCTGATCACTGTTCTCTCTTCTTGTGGTGCTTTTTAAAACTTCTGTCTCCCCATTACTGCTTGTCGATAGACCTTCCCAATCTATACGAGACTGCAGAGCCTCATATGAGGCCCCAAATTCTTCACACAGTACACTTCCACGGCTCTGAGTATCTTGTTGAAATAGAAAAGCATAATCACACCGTTCTGATCCAACTTCAATCTCATTTTCGAAACTTAGAAGAACTGGGTTGTCACTTATTGATTGATGACACGAGTCGTGTAATTTATTTTTACCCACATCCATTTCACAATCAGAAACCCTATGTGTTACTAACAAACCAAAATCTGGACTCTCAGAAGAACAAGTTTCTTTAAACTGGTATCTCTGGTGATGCTCATGATTTGTGCCTAACGCAGGCATCACAGTATCAGCTATCTGTACTGCCGCATTTGAGGCTACATGCACTGAAGAATCTGAAATCACAGGAAATGTTGTGGAAGCTAAATGTTCTACACTCCTTCCACTATTTTGAATATCTTTTTGTTTTATGACACTGACACTATCTCCACTTCCTAACAATGTAGTTTCTGTTGACACACACTTTTTTCCCCAAGTCAAATTTAATGTAGTACAAAAACCTTTGGAACTCAGAATTTCTACACTATTGTAATTTTTATTCTCCCTCCTTTCACCTATATTGGTGAAATTTTTGTTTGTATGAAAACTCTGCTTCTCATCTCCATATATATACTCTATGCTGTTTTCTGTAGATGAAGCAATGTCTTCTTCTTTAGCCTCATTTTGGTTTGCTTTATCATTATCTCTTTGTTCTTTGAAATCAATATTCAGGTGTATATCATTGTTCAACTGAGCATTACAGAACTGACTATAATCTTGACCTTTATCGTCAATTTGAGAAGTTTCTTTGCAGTCTCTTTGAATGTTCTCTAATGACAATGGATCATTTTGATTTTCTCCACGGACACATATATGTTCTCTAGCTATGTTGCAAACTGAATTGTCACGAGCTGTCTTAGTGTCATGAGACGAAATAACTGTATCAATTGGCAGTTCTTTGGCTGGAGGAATGTCTTTTGCTTCCTGGAAAGCATCAGTCATAATGCTAACACAATTCTGATTTGGTTTTTCCAATTTCAGTTCCATTAGATTTTGATAAATCGCAAAACTTGTATGAATGTTATCTTCATATTCCAAAGAGTATTGAGGATGCTTTTGTGAAAGGTTCCCTCCTCTTGGAGTAAGACTGTTTTGTAACTCCAAAGCTAGATGATCTAGCTCATACTTATGCTTTGTGGTAGATGTGGAAGATTTTGGTATTTCTAACTCTTGTGTAATTAATATTTGATCACAATTTTTTCCAGAAGAATCAGGACTCTCAACCTCTTTGAATTCTTCGTGCAAAGAAATGTAATTATCTACTGGACTGATTTTTGTTTCATTAGTAAAATAATTATCAGTTTCTTTCCACCAATTTTGCTTTTCTCTTTGTTTCAAATTGTCTTCTGGGCCAGTGAAGTGTCTCATCTTTCCAGTATTTTGAATGTACTCATGTATGCTTTCTTTCCTTTGGAGTGGAAGAACTGTCGCCATCTGGTGACCAGTCTGATAGTTAGTTTCTAAATTAGAGGACTGTGATTCCCGAGAGATGTGACTATTGTTCCCTTTGTTGGAAGTATTCACTGATTCATAAGAGTTATGTGGCTTACTGTTTTGTTCAATTAAAAGTGGGATGTTGCTTCTCTGTTGGGATCTCTGGGCTTTTTCCTCGCTGTGGTTTTGGTTCTCAACTTCTGAAACTACATTTGACAAACACATTGGGAAGGAAAAATTGTCTTGGCCCTCATGTTGTCCTGCCAAGGTAATTATATTAGAAGGTGTATAATTACAGCTGTTAGAGCCCATGATGTGAGCCTGAGACTGTGAATCATCAAAAGAAACTGCAAAGCCAGGGGCATCCAAACAATTAGTAAGAATAGCATGATCACCAGGAATGACTTTAGATGAGGAGACAGAATTAATTGGCATAGATGTTAGGTTTATTTCTGAATCAACAACATCTAAACTCTTCTGAAATGGCAAAATCTCATTTAAACCTGTAATATTATTATGTTTTTCCACGCGTTCTTCTCTCCTCATCAGTCTTGGGTCTTTAATGAGTTTTGAAGTAATAACTGTGCTCGAGTCAATATTGTTATGAACTGGAAAAGCAGCAGAAAGACCACTTAAAATATTTTTAAGTTGTGTCAAATCTAACAAGAGGTCACCACTAACACTTTCTCTGGTATCACTGGGAATAAATGAAAGAGCTGAATCTTGCGCATGTACTTGAGAAGTATCTCCACATTCTGCTACATTGTGCTCCATCTGTCCACTGTGTGTTTCAAGCACAGAAATATTTCCATTCTGCACATTTCCATAGGAATTAGAAATATTTGAGTCGGGAGGATTTATCTCTGAATTTAGTGTATTGCATGAACAGTTTTCTTGAACAAATGGATCTACAGGTTTCCTGAAATGCTCAAAGATGACAGTAGCATCTTTTCCTTTTCCAATTCTTTTAGCCACTGTACAGTTATTCAGAGAGCATGTTCTTTCTGTGGAAATAATAAGACAATAAGGAAAAATACGAGGAAAAAGTGTTTCTACAGACTACTCTATTAATATAAGTATTAATACAAAAATGTCATGAGCAATTTTAACTGAAAGTTCATCAAATAATCTAATAATGGGCCGGCCCCGTGGCTTCGCGGTTGGGTGCGTGCTCCGCTGCTGGCAGCCCGGGTTCGGATCCCGGGCACGCACTGATGCACCGCTTCTCCGGCCATGCTGAGGCTGCGTCCCACATACAGCAACTGGAAGGCTGTGCAACTATGACACAACTATCCACTGGGGCTTTGGGGGAAAAAAATAAATAAATAAAAATTAAAAAAAAAAATAACCTAATGATAATTAAAATATGTTCTCAGCAGAAAAAGCAAAAAGAGAAGAGGATGAATAACATACCAATAAAGTATAAATGATGTAGCTTGAAATTCTGTCCTAGTCTAGGAACCTTACAAAAAAACTATTTGCCATAAAAAAACTGGAATTCTGACAAATACTAAGAAATAGAAAAATTAAATATAAATAAAAACATGTTCATAGACTACATATTTCTTATATTAATTTCCTACATTCAGATATTTAACAATAGAATTTACATATTAATAGCCAAAACTGTCTCCCTCTATCTACTGTTACCTTGCTTCTTTTCCCTCTAACATAGAACAACAAAAATGGAAAGGAAAGGGGAATGAGGTGGAGAATTTGGGGGGAAAAGATCAAAAAGGTTGCACAAAATCCTTCCCAGGAGCCAAAGCAAACCACTACCCCTGCTTCATAGTGAAATATGTATTCTTGAAAATAATATATGCAAATAAAACCTAGACAAGAAAAGCAAATTTTCTTTTATAACTTACAGAAACTTATTCCTAAAATTTCATAAAGAACTTCATGTAATAACAAAGGAACTTATAACAGTGTGTATTTAGCAAGTAAAATGTTCACAAAGCATTCATAGCTGAGTAATACCACAAAAATACCTACATTAAAACAGAAATTAATGATGAGAAATTGCCTGTGAGATTTATGACACATATGAAGTTATAATCATATCACTGGGAAGTACCATGAGGTTCTTTTTCACAATACATTAAAAGATACCTTTGTTGAAGTTGTCTAAATTCTATAACCATTTGTCATTATACTTTTTAATTACAGTAAGCTATAGTGGAAATATGACCACAAATAGAGATGTAGTTCTTAAAAGTGAGAGCTACAGCAGAAAAAAGGAAAGGTGGATCCCTATACCTCTTTATACCAAAATACAATAAATTTCATTGTAAAAAAAAAATAAAACCAAAAATGTATTGGAAGAAAACGTGGAAGGATAGTTTTATAATTGCGAGGTAGGAAAGTAGTTTTTAAGCATGACTGGAAATCAGAAAACCAAAAATAAAAATATGATGTCAATTACATATAAAATAAATATTTTAATAGGTCAGAATGTGTGATAAAACTCAGAAGGTTAAACTGGTAAAAAGTATATTGTGCATGAGACAAGTTTACAACATAATTACATATATATTAGAATATATAAAGAGTACACAGACATCTTCAAAAGATTAATAAAGAGACAACACAATAGAAAAGTGGGCAAACATATGAACAAGAAAATAACAGATTAAATAAAAATTTTCAACACAGAAAGATCTCTAACCCCACTAAATAAACAATAAGATTCATTTTAAAAAAGTTTTTAGAGTGGCAAAGATTTTGAAGGATAATTAATACTCTGCAAATGTAAGCACTCTTTATACTGTTCATGGGAGTATAAACTGGTAGTAATTTCCTAGAAAGTAAATCTATAGCATTCATTAAAATGTAATGTATAATCATCTATACCCAGCAAATCTACTTTTACACATTTATTATTCTAATACACTTGCATGAATACCCAAGGTATATGTACAAGGATTTTTAGCACAATAATCCAAGACGGCTGAAAGCTAGAAACCTATCAATCAATGTGACATGGGTTAAATAAATATGGCATACCAATAATTATAATAGTAAAAGTACTATGTGCATATGCTGTAACAATGCCCTAGAAACAGAATGTTATGCAGCTATTACAAAGATTAAGACAGATTAATACAAACCAACATGGGAAAAGAAACCTAATCATTTAAGTTTAATGATCTCAATTTCATAAATGTATGGTAAATGCATATTAACATATACATAATGTTAATAACTTATAAAGTGCTTAGTGTGGATGCCAGGTATGGTTTTTCTAAGTGCCTTATGCACATTAATTCATTTAACTTTCCCAACATTTCTATTTTATCAATGAGGAAGTGAAATTAAGAGTAATTTGCCCAGGGTCACAGTTTATTAGCAGAAGAACCTGAATCATTATGTTACGCTATTTGTTTAAACTTAATAAAGGCATTTTAAATTTATTCCCATTTTTGGCATTCTCACCAAATAACAAATGAAAAATGGAGAACAAACTTAATATCTTCAATAATATAAGAAACTGTAACAAAGTGAAATTACAATCAATGAAGCAAACTACCAAATAGTTATTAGCACCATATATTCTGTGATGATGGAAATGTTCTTTATCTGTGCTATCCAATACAGTAGCCAAAAGCCACATGTGGTTACTGAGCACTTAAAATGTGCCTGGTGTGACTGAGGAATTAAATTTTTAATTTAATTTAATTTAAATTTAAACAGCCCCATGTGACTAACAGCTACTGTCCTGCATAGCATAGGTCCAGAGTACTCTAGAGGGAGATGAGCGTGCTGACAGCCAACACATGTGGCCTTGACTTTGGGCATAATATAGGTATTCCTCAAAGTTTATCATCCTGAAAGGCATCATCCTTTGATTAAAGTAATAAGCTGTAAGATTATGTATCGGCTGTAAGAGGAGTGGGGAAAGGTTCTTATCTATTGTCTCCATTTAAAGCCTTCTAGCTGAGGGATAATGTGGATAGAATGACTACACAGAAGATCATCAAGAAAACTGAAAATTAAGCAAACTGTAAACCAACTGGACCTAACAGACATCTGTAGAACACTCTATCCAACAACAGCAAAGTATCTATTCTTCTGAAGTGCACGTGAAACATTCTCCAGGACAGACCATAGGCTAGGCTATAAAACAAACCTCAATAAATATAAAAAGATAAAGATAATACAAATTTTATTCTCTAATCACAATGCAATGAAATTAGAGATCAATAACAAAAAGAAACTTGGGAAATTCACATATACCTAAAAGTTAAATAACACACCTCTAAATAACCAATGGGTCAAATAAGAAATCAAAGAGGAAATGAGAAAATACTTTGAGATGAATGTAAATGAAGATACAGTGTACTAAAACTTAAGGGATGCAGCTAAAACAGTACTTACAGGGAAATTTATAGCTGTAAATACATATATTATCAAAGAAGAAAGATCTCAAACCACTACCCTAATCCTCAATCTTAAGACACCAGAAAAAGAGCAAACTGAACCTAAAGCAAACAGAAGTTATGAAATAAAGATTAGAGATGAAATTAAAAAAACAGAGAATAGAAAAACAACAGGAAAAAAAAAAATCAATGAAACCAAAAGTTGGTTTTTTGAAAAGATCAACAAAATTAGCCAGACTGACCAAGAAAAAACAGAGGGAAGACTCAAATTAGTAGAATCACAAATGAAAAAGTGGATATTACTACCAACCTTATAGAAATAAAAAGGACTATAAAGATATACTACGAATAACAGTATGCCAATAAATTAGATATAAGTTAGATGAAGTGGACAAATTCCTACAAAGAGACAAACCACCAAAACGGATGCAAAAAGAAACAGAAAGTCTGAATAGACCCACAACAAGTGAAGAAATTGAATTAGTGAATTAAAAATCTACCTATAAAGAAAAGCCCAGGCCCAGATGGCTTTACTAGTGAAATCTACCAAATGTTTAAAGAAGAATTAATGCCAATTCTTCACAAACTCTTCCCAAAAAATGGAAAAAGAGGGAACACTTCCCTCATTCTATGAGACTAGTATTACTCTGATATCAAAATCAGACAAAGACATCACAAGAAAACTACAGATCAATATCTCTTATGAATACAGACACAAAAATCCCTAACAAATTAGTAGCAAACGGATTCCAGCAACATATAAGATGACTTATATACTAGGACCAAATAGGATTTATCACAGGAATGCAGTTTGCTTAACATCTGAAAATCAATGAGCATGAGACACCACAGTAACCGAGTGAAGAATAAGTATCACATGATCATCTCAAAAGACAGCAAAAGCATTTGACAAAATACAATACCCTTTTCATGATACAAACAATCAACAAACTAGGAAGAGAAAGGACCTTCCTCAACATGATAAAGGACATCAAAAAACACCACAGCTAACCTCATATTTACTGGTGAAAGACTGGATGCTCTCCCCCTAAGTTCAGGAACAAGACAAGGGATGTCCACTCTCACCACTTCTATTGAACATTCTCCTAGACGTCCTACCCAGGTGAATTAGGTGAGAAAAAGAAATAAAAGGGATCCAGATTGGAAAGGAAAATGTAAAACTATCTCTATTTCCAGATGACCTGATCTTGTACGTAGAATATCCCAAGGAAACCACTAAAAGCTACTAGAACTAATAATGAGATCAGCAAGGTTGCAGAATACAAGACCAACACACAAAAATGAACAGTATTTCTATATACTTGCAATGAACAATACAAAAATGAAATTGAGAAAAAAATTCTATTTACAAAAGGATCATAATAATAATATACTTAGGAATACATTTAACAAAAGAAGTGTAAAACTTATACCTTGAAAACTTCACTTCACACCTGCTAGGATGGCTAAAATCAAAAAGTCAGACAATAACATGTATTAACAAAGAAGTGGAGAAATCCTAATCCTCATACTCTGCTGGTATTAATATAAATGGTGCAGCCACTGTGGAAAACAGTCTGGCAGCTCTTCAAATGGTTAACACAGAGTTACCATATGACCCAGCA